CTTCACACACTCTCCTGTCTCCTTTCCTTGTAATCTCGCTCCATCATGCTTTCCTCTCTCTCCTATATTCACCTGTCTTTCTGCTCCTGTGCTCCTCCGTTTTCCCTCTCCCTCTCTCTGTCCAAACTCTGTCCCTTAATGTGGTCTGTTCTCGTCTCTCTTCCTTCAATTTCTGTCTCGGTTCTGCACATTTCTCTTTTCTTTATTTGATCTTTACTTCACTGGGACTCAAGATATTCGGATTTTGCCCAAAATCTGCCCCATCAACGTGCTCCTGTTGTAGCGATAAATTTGAGCAAGTTCTTTATCTCCCCTGGGCCTTAGTTTCTTCATCTGTGTGATGAGAGGATCAGTCTATTCAATTACATGCAATCTCACTGAGCCTCGCAACCTTTCAGTGAGATGGATCCATACGGGCTTTATTAGCCTGTGAGTAGAGGGTGGGATCAGTGCTCAGGGCTTGCCCACAATCACATGCCAGCAGGTCCCAGTGCCAGGCTTACACTGGAGGCATCTGACTCCTAATGCTTATCTTTTTGGGTATAAGATTCAGTGAACCTGTGATCGCTCCCCCTGAATTCCTTGGGAAAGAACTAGATAGTAATCAGAGATGATGGCTGTTGGGTTTGGGGGTAGAAAATCACCCCCTGAAAGGTGCTGCTACTTGTTTTCCTTTAAAGGGACATCAAAGAGGGTTGAGGCTGGTACAGAACTCTGAGGTGGAACCGCAGGAGCAGGACCATAAAATCAGTTGAGGGGAGGCATGGCTGTTCCCTGAGGCCAACTAAGCTGGAGGCCGCAAGGCCAAAAGAAAGGACCAAGACTTGCTGACACCCCAGATAACTCACTGTGCCAAGTTCTGTGCCAGGAACAGAATGACAAAGCCACCTGAATGTGGGACCTTGTGGTGCCCCCAAAGTGAAAATGGCTCTCGTAGAAACCGGAAGGAAGAGAGAAATGGGAGAATGAGACAGAGCGAGGACAAGTAGCAGAACGACAGTAGAGTGACCTGAAGGAGAGAGATCATAGGCCCTGGATCCTTCCTGCCACTGTTCAGACACAAGACCAAGTCTTCCCTAAAAATGTGCCCCTTGGCAGGGGAGGAACAGAGAGAAAAGCAGTCTGCTTGTTAGCAGCAGAATGAGGGGTACTCCAGGTCCCCCAAACCTGCATTCTCTAAATGGATTCTGCCATCCACCACATCAAGACAAAACATCCTCTTAGTAATGTAAAGCCTTTAATAGAAAAGAGCTTTAATACAATCTGTGCAATAGAGAGAAGAGAAGTGAAAAGAATATAGTTAAAATAGTTTATGCATGAAACACCCAGTCAGCCACCCCCTCGTGGGTAAATACCCAGTCAAACAGGGTTGGTCCAAAGCAGGGCCACCGAGGCCCAAAAGCCTGCCACAAGTGTAAGGCACCTTCTGGTGGGTGCAAGGGGAAGACGGGCCCAGGTGAGTCTAGAAGGAAAAGAGCAAAATCGAAACCCAAGTCAAGATAAAAGCTGCTATTGTCAGCCTCCCTGCGGGTCTCACTCAGGCCTCTGCCTCTTTCAAGTGCCTCCTCCCATGTCTACCAAGTTCCTGGTACAAGTCCAAGACGGAGAAGCAAGCGCAGCTTCTTCTTCATATGTCTCTACTCCATGTGCCTCCTTGCTTCCCTTTCTAAGTCCTGCTCCCAGTCTTTTTCTTGCTGCTCACTCTTCCCTTCCTTGGGGGGGCTGAGCACCTGGACCCTTCTCTTTCTGTGGCTACCACACTGTTACATGTTCTGTACCCCCCCCCACCCTACAACTCCTTTCAGTGAATAGTTCATTGCCACACCCCAGGTGCATGACATGTGCCCTTAAGAAGCTCAGTCTTGGGGTGGGAGAGTTACCGGCAAGAGAACTCCCCCCTTGGGTTTTCATGGTGGATCCTTGCTTTCTCTCACACCCACTCTTTCCATGCCGACACTCTTCTGACTGCCTGGCCAGCTCCCAGCAGTCCTGGCTCCTGGTGGGGAGTGGAGGGGCATGTGGGAAAGAAGGGAGCGGGAGAAAAGGGGTACTGCCCCTCCACGAGTACTGGGGCGCCAAAGGAATAGGAATCTTTTCCAGGATTCAGGTGGGATGGTGGGAAAGCTATCATCTTAGTTTCTCCTTGGAGAAGGCTGGGGGGCGGTGGTCTGGGGTCGAAGGTGAGGTGGGAGATTTTCTTGATGCTGTTCATGGAAACCTGTCAAAGTGCCTCCCGCAGAGCTCCCCTCTGAGGGGGGCAGAGAGACTTGCTCCTGATCAGTCCAGACCTTCAGCTCCTGTCTGCGGCTGTTCCCGGTTACTCCAAGTTGTCATGTCTGTTTGTCTGATCTGTAGTTTCCTAGAGCGTGTTGCTGTCCCTGTCCGTCTGTCTGTCTCTCTGATGTCAGTTTCTCAGCTTCTCTGAGAAGTCCTCTGGATGTTTTCTGACTGTCCGACCGTGTCTGTGTCAGTCAGTCTGTCTGTGCTTGGTTTCTTGGGGGAATTCCATCTGAAGATAAGTTTCCTCCCATCAGATACCCAACATCCCTGCTTCCAACCCTTTCAGTCACCCCTTCCCAGCCCCATGTCACTTCCTTTTAGCCAGGTGTTCCCCCTTCAGAGAGCATAGCCCCCACCCCTCCAGCCCAGGCTGACAGTGGGCACAGGGTGACAGTGAGCTCAGCCCTCTGGGCCACCTTTAGGAGATCCTGGCCTGAGCAAGCCAGTCTCCTCCTCAAAGCTCAGCCAGGCTCCCGTCATGACGTTGCAGCCTCCTCTAAGCATTTTGAAGAGAAGCAATCTGGTCTCTATAGAGACTCCAATGAGAACCCCCAAACCAATCACCCAGATGTCAGAGCTGGCATCGAAGGCTCCCTTACTTCCTCTAGTGCACCTCAGCTGAAGCCAGTGCTGACTGCAGTCAGCCAGGTTTAGGTGTCTGCCCCCAGGCTGTGAGGATGGGTAAGATCCCTCTCTTTGAGCCACTGGGCTCATCCGCTAGGGCTGTGTTTGCAGCTGATCTATGAACTGATGACCCAAGCCCCATGGGTAAGATCCCTCTCTTTGAGCCACTGGGCTCATCCGCTAGGGCTGTGTTGGCAGCTGATCTATGAACTGATGACCCAAGCCCCATCTGATCAGATGTGAAGGTTCTGCAGTCTGAGCAAACCCTCAGTCCAGGGGAGATGCTGGGGTCCAGGAGAGACCCTCACCCTCCCAAAGGGACAGCAAAGCCCCAGCCCTAGCAGGCCAGGACAGCCTTCCCCATTCCCCTGTAAAGGAGTCGCTGGGGCTGGGGTCAGGCATGATGCTTCAGAAGTGGGAAGCCCCAAAGTCGAGCAAATCTGAAGCTGGTGTCTGAGGACTGGGCATCAGGAAGCAGTTATGGGGCTTGCCAGGCCTCTGAGTCCAGAAGACAGGGCAGAGTTATCACAGGCTCCTCCGCGGGGCCCAGCTCCCCACACAGTGCTGGGCAGACAACCCATGTTTACCAGGTTATTTGGACCCTAAGGTGAGACTGGGGAGGGTGGGGGAGCAGCCGGCCAGGGGCAGCCAGCGCACGCCAGGATCTTCTCCCCCTTCCCACCTCCTCCCGCTGCTGGCTAATGGCAGGGCTTTATTCCGGGGAACTGAATAGCCTAGTAATTGCAGCCCTACTTTCTATCCCACGGCTCCCCTCCCTCTCAGCCTCTCCATGACATTCGGAACAATGACCCTGGCTGGCCAGCCGCCTCCTAGCATTGAGCAGAATGGCAGCCCATTTGTCTCCGTGGGTGGCAATGAGGCCGAGATGAGGAAGATTGGCTTCTATTAGGGTGATGAGAGGAGGGCGGAGGGGGTTCAGGAAGGGGAGGCGCGAGGGAGGAAGCACAGAATGGCCTTGGGGAGACCGTGGGGATGAGGGTCTGGGAGGGGCACTCTGGGCGCCAGCAGACTGAACTGACTCACAGGGCTCCCCCACTCCCCACGTGTTGGTCCCTCCTCACCACCTCACCCTGACTCTGGGATGGAAAAGACACTCATATTTATTGAGTATCATATTTACTGCACATGCAGGGATGTTGCACGAAGCACGCTCGGTGTTTCATCTCCCTTAGTTCTGAGATAGCTGCTGGGCCCACTCTCAGGTAAGGACGCTGGGGTGGAGGGGAGTCAGGGGTCTTCATGGTGGGGACGCTGCTCATCAGTACTTGAGCTAGAAGGCGAGCTCAGGTCTGACTCCAAAACTCACCCTCTTTCCAAGGAGGTGCTGCTAGCATTTTTTTTTTTTAAGAACAGAAAGGATATCCTTCCAGCCATTGCATTTGATCTTAAATAACATCGTTTTTCTTTGGCCGTAGGTTATATTTCCTAGCTGTTCAAGGTGTGGAAAATACAGAAACAGAAAGCAGGAAGAAGCGTTTGCATGCAGCCTTGTAGAATATATTAGTGTGCAAGCTTCCAGGACTTTATTTTTCTATGCACTGGGTTTTAGATGCCCGACCCCTTCACCCCTATTTAAAAAAAAAAAAAAATGGTGTAACCTGCGTTTCCACATGAGACAGTGTCCATTGAGAGCCTCCTGCCTAACCAGGCCCGCCCCGTGCCCCGCCCCCTCGGGGGCCCGGCTCCCCCCAGGCATCTGCGGCTACTCAGCCCGCAGAGTGTGCGCAGCGGGTGGCCCTGGGCGCCGCTGGAGGCGGCCATCCTTGTACGCTGGAGGAAGGGACACCCTTCCAGGAATGGCTGTCAGGGAGAGCCCTTGGTTAGCAGTGCCAGCGCATCCCTCCCTCCGCTTGTCTCTTCCCTGCCTTCCTGAGGCGTGATCAATGGACCAGCCAGTGTTTACTCAGCGATTACGGAGCAATTAAATTCTCAATCGATACAGTTCAGTCTTCAAACAGCTGGACTTGGGCGCTGGCGTTACATGCCCGCTCCATTTGTCACACCCCAAGCTCGGAGGCTGCTGGGAACCTGCCCCGCCCACCGGTGGGAGGAGGCGGGGTGTTCTGAGGCTGCAGAGCTGCGTGCTATTCCCCCTGGGGAAGAGTATGGAAAAGCCTCAGTTTCCCCACTCCAGGTCCCAGGGGAGAATATGGGGCTCGGGGAGAGGGGAGGAAGGGGCAGCTGGCAGGCCCACCAGCCTGCCCTGCCCTCAGGCTCTGAGGTCTCAGCAGCTTCACACCAGCAGGCAGTGGCCACCATGCAGAGAAGTTGTCTGGTCTTCAGAGTCCAGTGGTTAGTTCCCAGAAGCCTTTGCAGGAGTGGCCATCAGGTGACCCAACCCAGGGCTGTCAGAATTGCCCCAAGGCCTGGAGCCTCTTCCTGGCTGTGGGGCCCAGGTGAGGTTCCTAGGGAGGAAGAGCTGGGTTTGATGTGGGTGCAGAGTCTGCACTGAAGAGCAGAGGAACGCGGGGAAGGGAGAAGCTGCTCACTGTCCTCTGAGGCTCTCTGTGTAGTTACGGTAGAATCCACCTTGGCTGGGCTCTGCACCTGTGGGTGCTCAGGAGGAGGCCAGCAGAACTTGATCCTGGGGCTAGAGAACTGTGTCCCCTGATGAGCCCATGACCTGTCACATGCCCTCTCTATGCTCTTTGTCCCCTCTCTTCGCTGATACACTTAGGAGGCACAAAGACAAAATAGATGTCAAGATACTGACACCTTGGTGGGGGCATTCCCCTACCCCCCCACAAATTCTCGAGAGACAAAGGAAAAAGCCTGTCTTGTCATGACTTTTGATTTTCTGTTCAGAGGACTTTTCCTCGGTTGGCACATGGAATTCATGTTGGGAGTCAAGTGTTTGTCCAAGCCAGTTTCCTTGTGTTTATTGCCCTCCCAGGCTTTGAGCTGTCCTCTAAGGCTGTGTCTACAGGTGACCCAGTTTGTTCCCAGAAGTGACACTGGTCCATGGGGCTTCCTTGGGGGTGTCATGGTGTGAGTGAGGCCAAACTGGGGTTTACCTTCAAAGAACTGCTAGTTAAAACAGCTTCCTAGCAGCAGCACGTTCACAGGTGATAAGAGAATTTCTCCTCACTCTGTATATCTGTTCTGTAGCCCTCCCCCTGCCCAACCCCATGAGCTAGAAAGAGAACATTATGTATGGAGCACTTGCTCTGTGCCCTACAAGTATCAGTTCTCACCAAAAGCACAGAAAATGTTATTATTCCCATTTTACAGACAGGGAAACTGAGGCTCAGAGGTATGAATGATTTATCCAAGAGTCACATACCTGGTAAGCGGCAGAGCTAGGGTTTCGAAGCAAGTCATGGGTGACAGCTTCTTGGATGGAGTCAGAAGACCGAGAAGGGAGGTGTTTTCATCAGAGGATGTAACAGTGTGGTGGGGAGTGACAGCCAGCTCCCGCAGCTCCAAGTGGGCTGCTTGGGGTCAACACCTTTTGGGTTCGTAGTTTCTCAGGACTGACTGAGAAGACAGGGCCTTTCTTTCCTCCCGATGGGCCCCAGGCTGTTTGCCGAAGCAGGTGGCATTAGGAAAACCCATCAGAACTACGGAAGCTGAAGAGAGAAATAGCCAAAGTTTTGTGTAAGGGCAGGATGGACACAGTGCAGGTTCTCTATGATCCGAGCAGACGGGGTAAAGGAGAAGACCTGGAGCCCTCGGTGGCTTTTCAGGCTTTAACTGGGATTTACCAGGTACACAGCAGGCAGGGGTGCTGGGGGGCCGGGAGGCTGGCAGGTCTCCCAGCCCCCAGCAAGTCTTCACTTTATCTGGGCTCTCTGGCTTTCTCTGGTGGTCTCCACTTCTCTGCTCCTCGTGGTTCTGCTTCTCTGCTCTGCTCTCTGCTCTACTCATGGTTCTGCTTCTGCTGGCATCCCTGTGATGCCACCCTGATAAGCCCACCCTTAGCCCAGGTATACCCACTTACGCATGCCCACACCCCACTCCAGGTGCCCGCCATCAGGCATGCATTCAGGACCACAAGGATCCATCATCAACCCTAATAGTGGGAGGGCAGAAAAGCCTGATATCTTTTTCACTTACCCTACATTTTGTAAGGGGAAAAAGAGCTATGTGCCCCGCCAAGGAATATCCCCACCAAGGCTTTATTTAAAGAAAGACATGTAACAAAAGCTAATTCTTCTAGATCAACAAAATGAAAGAAAACTACTGCAAGGAATCACTAGCTGATTCCTAACGTAGAGTTTTGTCCAGTCTTCTAGGAAACAAATTTTCTTGTCTCATTTACTGAAAACTTCTTGTACGAATCTTTAGGATCTTTTCATTCCCAGGAAATAACCTCTCTTTGCAGACCGGGAGGTTTTTCCACCCTCACCATTTCCTGTGCTTTTGTTTTGTTTTCTCTTCCAAAAGGTCAACTTAATCCATTCATTTATCTTTTAAACAACAACATGACCATGGAAATGATTTATAATTTCATCAGGTGTTTCTGATGTATGACAAAAGGGGTTTTTCGGTTTCATCAAATCCCAAGAGAGAAAATACTCTTAATCTAAAACAGGTGTGATTTAATCAGATCAGAGATTCTTAAAGACTTTACTGCCTTTGAGAGGCCCTAGATAGCTTAAGGAAGGAGATTTTTGGAGGCTTCAATTGTGATGATTAAAAAAACCAAAACCAAACAGGAAAGACAGCTGTCTGTGAAGGAAGCTGGAGCGTGTTGCTGTCTCCAGCAGCGAGAAGTGCGAGGGAGGCAGAGAGAGAGAGGTCTGTTGATTTAGAACTTCAGGATGTCAAAGCTGGAAGAGAGCCAAGCCCTTTATTGCCCAGATAGGAAATTGAGGACCAGAGGAAGGTGCCTTGCCCAAGGTCTCCCAGCTGGTGAAGTGCAGAACTGGCTAGAAATCAGGCTTCTGAAGTAGCTGGTGCTTCCCCCACTAGAATGAGAGAGGCCCACCCCCTTTTTTAATTTATTTATGTATACAAGAACCGGGGACAGGCCAAAGATGTGGGGGTTGAGAGGATTCACCAGAGACAGAACGGGGAACAGAACAGGCAGATTGACTGAAATACACTGCTGAGGGGAGCAGCGGGCAAGACAGGAGAAGTCTGCCGTGCCATGTGGGTATCTCGCCGGCTGGGTGGCTGGGATCGAACCTGCAGTGCAGAGGCTGCGGACAGCTTCACAGCGCTGTGCTCGACCACCTGTGCCACCAGGGAGGCCCGGCCCGCCCCTTCTTTATGGTTCAGTTTCCTCTTCTATAACATGAGGGGTGAACTAGCCTTCGAGGATCCTCTAGCAGCGGTTCTGTAAGCAGGCACTATGCCTTGGCCAGGGACGGGACATACATCTGGAAAGGCCAGGAGGATCTTCAAAGCAAAACGAAGGCCAGTGCTATGAACTTGGGTCTGGGAGCAGACCCCAGAGGCAGATGGGAAAGGTGACGTTGGAACTAGCCTGAGCATATATGAAAGAAGTAGTGGCTCGATGAATGTACGAGCTTTCTCCTTCTCAGTTTTATTTGTTGTTAAAAAATAAAAGGAAGATTAATAAAACAAAAAACCAACAGAGAAACCACCCCTTGCTCATCATCCTGTGCCCTCATCTGATCAGCTCCTCTCACTCACCCTGCGTTCTCACGCATCTTGAGCAGCGTGGCCTGGGCACTGAATGTGCCCATGTCCATAGGGAAGAGGCTGGGCCTGCTCCCTGACTCCACACTGCTGGGTCTCTGCGTGTACCTTAGACCCGGGAGCAGTTTCTTTCACTCCCAAGACAGAAAAGATGGGAAATAAAGGAGGGCTAAGGGGAAAGCCAGTCATAACCTTAGCAACTAACGTGTGTACAGCATTTTCCAAGTTCTAAAATTCCTCCTTTTCACTCTCTGGCACCTCTGTTAAAATTCACAGGGGCAGGGGTCACTTACTGTGTGCATTTTATTGCTGAGGAAATACTCAGGTGAGGGGAGCAACTTGTTCAAGTTCCTGAGGGTGGAAGCTGGAAGAGGTGAAGACAGAATTGTGCCAGGGTCTGCAGTGTGCAGTGACCAAACCCGGCTTCTTTCTTGTCACCGTTTGATTGTGTGTCCTCAGTCCTGCCCTGGTGCTACCCCCCTCCCCCCCACATACCTGCAGGGGCTTGGTGCCATCCAAGGCTGCAGTTTTGCAGATTTGGAGAGTCAATTCGGTTACCCTAAGATCCTTGGATTCTGGGGGTACCATCCCACCAGAACCAAATTCATAAGAGATTGATATATTAGTATAATTTACTAATTCAGAATGAGAAATGATCCTAGTGAACAGGATACTCATAATTATGAATCAAGAAATCACTTAAAAATATGCAAATCCCCTTTCTTCTCCAAGGGCAGAGAAATATGCACGGGTGACTTTTGTGGATTCCCTCTAGGTTGGAAGGAAGAGAGAGGTAAGGAGGTATTCTGTGCACTAGAATGAATCCAGGAAGTCTGCAATGAAGCACTTAAAATGTGGTGCAGTTGAAAGCATGGCCAGTAATTCAAATCCAGGTTCAAATCCTGGCTTGGTCACTTGTAAACTCTGTGACCTTGGTTAAATTACTAAAGTTTTCTATCTTCAATTTATTTATCGGAAAAATGGAGATAACAATTGCACTCCCTCCTAGGGTGGTGGGAGGATTTAAAGAGATACTGCACAGAAAGGTGTCTGGCATATAGTAAGCATCCAACAGACATTAGGTATTTTAAAACAGGATCTTTTAAAAACAGAAAGGGAAAAAATTGTCAAGACCCAGGAAGCTCAGGAGAAGGTATAGAAATGCAGGGATGAATGGAAAATGTTTGGAATGGATGGACTGATGATTCCAGGGAATGGAGTCCTAGTAGTGGAGGTATGGCCAGCAGGAGGGGACACGCTTCCTTGCTTGTTCATGGTCTTTGCACTGTGCCCTTCAGAGAGAGGGTCTAGGGTCTAGCCCTGCTGTTGGTTGACAGATGATATGGGTAGATAAGGAGGCAGATATGTCTAGTCAAACCTAACCATAACATATGTAGTGTCAACTGGAAAGATGCCAATACCAGAGAGAGAGCGAGAGAGAGATAAAGAGAGAGACCCTGAGAACTGAGGACCAATTTGAAAAAGAGATCAAAGAATCTAAAGGCCTAGATGAATGCCAATCAAGTAGGGCCAATAGGCCTGACGAGGAGATTTTATAGACATCAGGGTAGGAAAGGAAATGATTTAACTCAGCACCAGGCTGTCATAGCTCAAGCTAGGATGAGATTAAAAGCAGAGGCATATTATCAAGAAAATCTTGCCTTCTCACAGTTTGCCTGTTCTACTAGGAGAAGACTGTTCAGCTCTCACAGAGAAAGGTTTATGGTCTGGCACTGACCCCTACCCAACCTCTAGGTACTTCCCCAAGCTGGGATCTCTGAGGCTTCTTCCCAAAGCCAGTGAGTCTTGGATTGTCCCTTCTCCTCAGTGCTTTTTGGAGATGGACTTAGAAGCCTATAGGCATGAGAGAAATTGTATGACCCTTCTGGTGCATGAGTGGTTTCTACTGCAGCATGAAAGATTGCAGCTAGACATTATGAAGGACTTCCAGAAGGAAGCTGAAGCTAAGGAAGGTGACTATAGAGACCTATCTCTAGGCATATTGCAAAATTGAGCCCACAGGAGTTTCCTTGCAAATGGTTCTATTAGAGTAAGGTAGGCTGATCTGGGTGGGAACAGGAGGAGGGTGAAATAATTATAGCCATGGGAATACAAAACACCCAAGCCTGGCCTCATGTCTGCCGTGGAAATGGGTGGTGTGCACATGTGGTTTGTGTAGGTCACCCTGAGGGGGTTCTCATGTGGTCACAGCTCTCACAATAGTATCAGGTTAGGGAAGGAAATCATCAAATAAGTGCCAGAGGCTTTACTGACATTATTTTATTAACTTTCCCGGCAAAATTATTTGATAGGTATCCCTGCTTTTCATGTAAGGAAATAGGATCAGAGAAGTTTAGGAACTAGCCCAAAGCCACACAGCTAGCGGGTGTTCAAATATTAGCCACGATCAATCTGACTGGCTCTAAATCTCAAACTCATACTCTGCTGCCTCCCAGCCCTTATTACCTCCTGATAAAGCTTCTCTTGGCAACCTCTCTAACTTTTCACTTTGCTTTTTGTAATATTGTAGGGAAACTGAATGGTGCTTTTGCTTTATGTTTTCTTATTTGACAAAATAACATGTTGGCAATCCTAAAATGGGAAAGATAGCTGTTGCTTATATAGAGTTCACGGAGCATTTTACATATGTTACTACTTTAATTCTTTCACAAAGAGGCGAGTAAAGCACAGGGAGGTGCCCAGGGCCACACGGTGGCAAATGGCAGAGCCAGTGTTCAAATCCAGGCAGTCTGGCCCCAGGTCCACAATGCTGCCCCTAATTACGAGCTGGCCAACCCCGCCTGTGGCCTTATGTGGCCCGAAGCCTGGCTCCCAGCTGGCTCCTGGGCTGACACTTCTCTTGAGGACACCTCTCCCAGCCTCCCCTGCCATTTCCAGCAGCTCCTTTGGCTTGACAGTAACCAGAGTCCATTTGGAGATTGTAACACAACCAGGCACAAGGGGCCGGAAGCGGGGACCCCTAAGGAACATACCCATTTTCTTTCCCAGAGTAGTAACTGGCCCTGCCATCCTACCAGTCCTGCCAGCCAGGAGTGGCAGGGAGCAACTCGCCAGGAGAGATTTCCTGACTCCTTTGGGGTCTGCAAAGACCTAAGTGTTCCTGAGCCTCCCTGCAAACCAACTACTATGCAAATTCCAAAGGCGCTGCTGCCAAGCAGCCACCACTGCTTACACAAAGACGAGGCAATTTGCCCCTCAGGCAAAGCTAGAAAATGATAAACACAAATTCAGGACAGGGATTCCACTGAGAGGGAAGGAAGGATATTTAAGGCCTCCCACGTGCTATTTCTTGAGTAAGGTAAAAAGGAATATTTTTCTTTCTACCTTACATATATTTTATTCCTATCTGCCTATATAAAATAGTTCATAATAAAAGGGAGAAAATGAAATAAAACCCTGAGTTCTCTAGGCGGTGAATATTAAGCACTGTCTGTAGCAGCTGTGGGATGATTTTGGGCTGTGTGTTCAGAAACGGTTTTAAGGCAGGTTTCTTGGAACTTCACATTAAGGTTGGGCGAGATGAGAAAGCCAGGAACCGGAGGGTCTTGTCTTCGGGCGAGTAACACAAGCAGACAGAAAAGGAGCCAAAGGCACGGTGTGTGGGAGGAGGCATCGTTTGTGAAGTTGTGTGCCGTGTGGTGGGGAGGGGACCGGGCAGGCAGGATGTCCTTAGAGTTTGATTTTGCTACCCGACTCATGCCTGTTTGTGAAAAAATAAAACGCTAAAATATATTCAGATTGCAGTGACAATAAGATACTGTTAGTCAGGGTGGCCCAGCTTGGGAGGCTGAGGGAGTTATCCTGAGGCAGCTTCTAGATGAGGCCTCCCTGGAGCACAGGGTGTTGACTGCCCAGGTGCTGACATTCCCCTGGGGGTGCGTTAAGCAAGGGAGATTCCACCTAGGACTTCTGGGGATAGTCTGCCTGAGCTGCTCCTGTGACCTCCTGGGAGTGGGTGCCCTGGGTGTGGGGAGGGTGCCAGGCCAGAGAAGGGCTGTGATGCCTTTGACGTGAAGCCCCTACAGATGAACCAAACCAGCCAGCACCTTTTGGAACAGCTGTGAGACCAAAGCCTGGAGTCTCCAAGGAGCAGTGACAGGAGAGAGAATAACTTACTTTCTCAGGGCCCTTGGGAGATGGGAGAGAGAAGCATCTGTCACAGCCAATGAAGTCAGGCCAGGCTCTGCAAGTGGATGAGCCCAGAAAGCCACAGCTGTCCTCCCCAGGGGTTGCTATTCTGGGACCTGGCTTCCAGCTCGGATAATGGAGGTCAAGGAGCCACAGATGGGGGGAGGTGTGGGCATGGATTAACTGATGTGAGGGAGGCAAGGGAAGGTTTATGCTGTGTCCTTGGGCGTTGAGGGCAGGGTTGCTGAGGCCCAGCTGCTGACTGGGGGAGTGTGCACCTGGATGGGGTAGAGGGGGCGCAGGCATGTGGAGAGAAGAGGAGCTGGGGAAGCTGTGCCTCTCCCGCCTTCCAGATGCCACAGCACCTTGTTCAAACTGACCATTTCTTGATGAGGGAGCAGACATCCAGAGTGCAGCCTCGAGCCCAGGTCTTAATGAATGCTGCAGCAGAGTGAGGCTGCCTCTGACCCCAACCCTGCTCTTTCCACCGCCTCTGGCAGCATTTTCTAGCCTGCTCTTTGAATCAACACAGAGTGAGTTGTTTTCTGACACTGATGCTGTATTCACCACAAGCCTTCCCAGGACCATCTGGGACCCCTAAGGACACTTGTCTTCCAGGCTCAGACCGTCTAAGATCACTTTCTTGATTCAGATGAGGGAGAGAAAGAAGTGCTTTAGTAAAGGCTGAAAGATCTTGACATGTGAGGCATGTTGTTAGCTTTTGTTCGAAAATGCCCACTTTCTTTGTTCCCAGAGAGTGTTAAGAAAGGCTGGCAGCATCTCGGATCATCTACAGCAATTGGTCAGGCCCTGGGGGAACCTTCTAGTCTGAAGAGTCCTTCAGCCTTGAAACACTCCTAGCAAGGTCTCCAGTCACCACTGTTCAAGCCACTGCTCAGAACAGAAGGCAGTCCAGGCAGCCCTTCGCCAAAATCCACACCAATCAGCCCCTTGGGGCCCCTCCTCATTCATTTCCCCACCTCTGTGCCAATGACCAGACTCTGAGGGGATCCAGGGGGCCTCTCCCCTGAAACTTCCCTTTTCCAAGTAGAGCATAAGCCCTCAGTTTTCTCATCTGCAAAATGGGGATGTGATTATCTCCTTTTCAAGAGAGTGATGGAGAGGAAATGACCTCATTGATATATTGGTCACCTTGGAAAAGACAGCCTTTCTGTGGGAGCAGTGAATGAGCTGAGCGGGTACCAGGCAGGACCCCAGCATCTGTGCTCAGGCAGTCCCTGCCACGTGGTGGGGTGTCTCCCTCGGCCCCCCGCCATGTTGCCCTCTGCCAGGCGCTGGAGGGGTCAGGAGCTGCTGAGGAGCTCGGATATGGGCAAATGGTCTCTGCAGCAGAGACAATCCCTGAAGGGGCTGACGGGGCTGACAGCCAAGGTCCGTCTCCAGCGACTCTCCCGGAGCTGGAAAAGACATCATCCCTTAGAGGAGGCTTGGAGCGGTTCTTCACAAATCCACCCCCTATCTCTGCCTTTGGGAATGTAATAGAGATTAAAATGATATCCATCCACCCACCCATCCATCTATCCAGTCATTTAACACTTACTAAGCATGCCTTACGAGCCAGCCCACTGTGATAAGCACCTATGATTAAAAGGTGTATGTGGCACAGTGTGGTAGGGGACATGTCAATAAGTAATTAGAGCACAGAGTGGACATTGCTGAACTAGATGCAAGCACCAAGATAATTAGAGCACATTGAGGGTGAGAATGACTCTTCCTGGGACAGTTAGAGAGCCTTGAAAGAGGTGATAAGAGAGAGAAAGGAATGCATTGAATGGTGGAAGCTTGGAGAGGAGAAGGCATTTCAGGCCAAGGGAAATCACGTGAGAGGCAGGGTGGTCAAGAGTGCTGGGCAGATGTGGAGAAAGCTTCGTTTTGTACACAGTGTTCCTGATGAGGGTAGAAATGGAGGTTGGGGTATGATCATGAATGTTCTGGAGTGCTGCACCGGAGGGCTTTATCCTAGCAGCATCAGCAAGTTACCGGAAAATTTTGAGCAGAGGATTGGCATTCCACATCTGTATTTAGGAAGTCAGCTCTGATAGCAGAGAGGACAGACAGGCTGGAACCCCAGGAGAGTCTTAGATGTGCCTGGACCAGGCCTGCTTGGCAGGCACCCAGCCTCCCAGGAGGGACCCTCCCCCGATGTGATGGATGTTCCGACACGCAGGCCATTCTGGTCCTGGCACGTGTCATACTCTGAGCAACTGCTTGCTCCCCCATTTTCCTCAAGATTTTCATTCCCCATATTCAAATCTTGCCAGCTTATGCATGGAATAACCCCCATGGATGGCCTGGGCCTCGTAGGTGTATCGGCCTAATGTCATGTGGGCACAACCAAAGCTTTCTAAGAACTCTCTCATACTTGGACTCCTTTATTCTTCATCTTAACCCCCTAAGGTAGGTACTAGTACTTTCACTATATAGACGAGGAAACCAAGGTCCAGAAAAAGCAACTTAATCAAAGCTACACCATGCTAGAGCTTGGATTTAGCCCATGCTGTGAGCCTTCACACTCCTCTGAAATAGAGTGATTCTCGAAGCACAACTCAGTTTCTAGCAGACAGAACAATGAAAGCTGGGGTCACCCAGGAAGGCATATTGGAGGAGGCAGCTTAGGACTGTGCGCAAAGCCTGGAGGCTGGAGGCTGATGAGGGAGGGGAGCACCTGAGTGTACTGATCCCCAGAGCAGGCTGGGATGGGGCTGCTCCAGCCAGGAGATGTCATCTTAGAGTAGCAGGCAGAGCAGCTAAGGGAGGAAAAGAAGCACCAGGAAGAACAGATGCTTCCTTGAACCCAGCAGAGCTTCTCTTCACAGACCCAGCACCAGAAAGCCGGAGTCCACCTGCAGTGGAGGAGCTTTGTGCTGAGACCAGACCTATAAGCACCATTTCTTCCCCCAGATTCATTTGGGCAGTCTAAAGACGGAGTGGTTCATGTGGCTCAGTTTCGCCCCCCAGATCCCTAAGGCCAGGGAGCCAGAGCACTAATTATAATAGTTAACACTTACACAGCAGTGACCATGACCTGGCGTAAGAACTTGAGCTAACCTAAGTCTCCCAGCATCCTTATAGGGTGGGTGCTGTTATTACGCACATTTTCCAGATGGGGAAACAGGCATATTGAGGCTAAGGAGCCTGCTGACGAGGTCCCACAGCTGCTAAGAGGCAGAGCCCAGATTTGAACCCAAGCAGCCTCCCCGTAGCCAGTCTGCCATGCGGCTCCTAAGCAGAGTTTCATGAGCTCTGGCAACAGCTGTTGCTACCTACTGCCTAGGATGGCCGCCCCAAGTTCAGTCTCTCTTCCGTGCCACCTCTCTACCAAGATGGCAACTCCCTATAGGGAAGTGCACCAGCCCCACCCCTAGAAAGGCCAAAAAAGGCCAGGCCAGAGTGCCCCAGTTTCTCCTCCACTCCCACACCCACATGCACCCCATCCCCCTCTCCCCCAACCGAGCACCGTTGCCTTTTGTTCACAGTGATGGCTCCTGCGCCCAGGCCGGTGGGGGCATGGAGGACTCCGTGGTGGCAGCAGCGGCGGTGGCAGCCGGCAGACCCAGTGCCCATGCCCCGAAGGCTCAAGCCCAGGAGCTGCAGGAGGAGGAGGAGCGGCCGGGGGCGGGGGGTGCCTCCCCGAGGGGGGGTGCCTCCCCGAGGGCTGGCCCCCACCGCGCGGCCTCCCCGGGCCAGCAGCAGCCTGCCCTGGCGACCGGGCTCTGCTCCCACACTCCTGCCGCCTCCGATTACGAACTCTCCCTTGACCTAAAGAATAAACAGGTACCCAGGGCCTCCAAGGGGGTGGGAAGGGTGGTGAGGGGGCCCTGCTTTTGTGGGCTGTTCAGGGTAGCAGGGATTTTGCAGGTGGGCTCCCCTCTGCTGCAGGCACTCCCCTTTAGCCACTAGGTCTCCCAAAGTAAGTAATCTGTCTTTTCCGCAGCCCCAGTTCCTCAGGCAACCGGACTTAATAAGGCAGAGGCCTTGTAATGGCCCTCAGGTAGCATGTGGAAAGCTCTGTTCCCTCTCAATGTGCAGGAAGCCTCAAACCTCTCAGCAAGTGGCCCATTGTTCCCTGGGGGAGTATCTACCTCCCCCAGATGCTTAAATGGGATAGTTCTCTTATATGTCTACCCACAGGGCAAAGCCCCAGGCCTAGGCACACACAGGCTCAAAGGAGGTGCAAAGACAGTTGTGTCCTCCAGGTAGACTGAGGATGCCCAAGATTAACCCAGACTGGGGGAGTTCAAAGATCCACTATTAGAGAACAAATCCCATTGAGGGGTTCCAGGTCTCCACTTTCCATTCATGGGGGTTCATGTTGAACCCCCCCAAAAAGAGATGATGCCATGGTTTGCCTTCAACAGTTAACTGACCCAAAGGAGGATATGTGTGTGTGTGTTTGCATGCACTTAGAGGAAGACATCATGACTTGATATTGTTAAGAAAAAAAGCATTGAATATGGAGCCACAGACAAGGAATCCAGTCTTTGCTCTTGCTCTAATTACCTCTGTGACTATGGGAATGCCAATAAACACTCTGCACATGGGTTACCTCATCAGCAAAATTGGGAATTAGACTTTGAATCATCTCCACAGTCCCTCTTGCTCTAAATGCATAGGTTCTAAAGACCCATTCTTGAATCCAATGACAAGGTGAGTCTTGAGAAGAAAAGCCAGTACAAAGGTCTCTAAGACTGAGTCAAGCCAAACCATTTTTCTTTCTTTTGGCATTGGCACCAGGAGGCTATTATCATGCACCAGGGACCAGCTATAGGCAGTACATCTGTGCTTTAGAAAAGCATCACACACAATCTCCCATGATATTTTTGTGGACAAGATAGGAAAAGGGTTAGATGACAACATTTATCAGGTGGGTTCACCCAAAAAAAAGGCTGATTTTTCCTTTGGTGCTGAGTGGGACACTGTCCTGATGTTGTCCAGTTCAACAATTTTCAGAAGGGACTACTTTCTCATGACACAAAATTGAGAGGGAACAGCTAATACTTTGAAAGGAGAATCCAAGACTTGAAAAAAAAATATATATCCTCAGCAGAATGG